TTCAAATACATGCATAAGCTGCAGAGCCTCTTCAAGGCACCCTGATATTCTGCAGTTCCTAACTCTACAAATTTTGAGAGCCCCCATAGTAGAGGCACATGTATTTAATGGATAGACTGAGGAAAGATGAACCTGAGGGAGCCTACCAATTCTTAAAGGTACAGAAGCGCATTGGGCACCCATATGGCACAATGGCAGCCAAGGTGTCCAGTGTGCCCCCTCACCAACAAGTCAACAGTACAAAAAATAGCCTCTTCCCCAGTCTATAACTGGACTTCACAGCAAGGAGCGCATAGAAGGGAAATGTATGTCAAACAATAAAAGAGAAAAATTCCCAGCTTAACTTACCAACCAGCTTGCAAACAAACCAAATTAGCTTGTCTAACAGTATGCGTTAAAAACAGGGGTTTAGTTAGCACACATTTACACATAAGTTGTGAAGTTGAGCTGTAGACAGACTTTTAACATTAACAGGGATGTTGAATTCACCAATAATGATAGCGGGTATTTCAGAGGAGAGAGAGTAGGGTAGCTAGGCAGAGAAGTCAGCAAAAAAAGTGTGATACTGGTCTAAGAGGCCGATAAATCACTGCAATCCTCAAAGAAATTGGAGAAAAAAGACAAATACAGTGCAGCTCAATAGAAGGGAGGGATAGAGAGGGAGGGGCAGAAAGGACTTGTTAGGCGATCTGTGGAGATAGAAGGAATCCAACTCCACCTCCTTTCCGTTCACTGGGTCTGGGTGAGTGAGTCAAGTGGAAGCCACCATGGGAGAGGGGCAGCTGGAGAAACCAAGTCATAATCTTGAAGCCAGATATCAGTTATGGCAAGTATGTTAAAGCAATGGGAGATAAAAAGGTCATGCACAGATGTGATCTTATTATAGACAGAGCAGTAAACAGTCAGAGGTCAAGACAGACAGCAATTCAAAGAGAGTAATCAGTAATCCAAGTAAAGGTTAGCAACACAGAATCCAAGGCAGATAGATAAGTCAGAGACTAACAGAACCAGAATGCAGGAACATTATCACAAGCTCAGAGTTTTGACCTCTAGCAACCGGGTAGAACCTTGCTTAGCTGTCAAAGGGGAATCACCCAACTGGTCACTTAGCACAGAGATTACACCATCTGGGAGGAGAGAGCGATCACTTGCCAACTAGGAGCATTGATTGCTGGATGCAGAAAAGTGAGCCTATTAGAGCAGCACTATGATCCTCACCTCAAATCCTAACAAGGAAACTAACGGCATGGAGTTTGCATGCTCTCCCTTCTGTGGGTTTCCTCCCGCACTCCACTGGTAGATTAGTTGGGTCCTATCTAAATTGGCCTTTTTATGTACTGTATGCATGTGAGTTAGGGATTTTAGATTGTAAGCGCCTTGGGGAAGGAGACTGATGTAATTGTACAGTATGTAAATCCCTGTGTAAATTGTTGGCACTGTATAATTGTGGGATACTAACATTTCTAGGTAAAGTCGATCCAGCTTATATCCGATTGCCTCTCGGGGGATCAGGAAGGAATTTTTTTCCCTGCAGGAGCAAATTGGATCGTGCTTTGCTGGATTTTTTCTGCCTTCCTCTGGATCAACTTTGGGTATAGGATTATAACTTCTTTTTTTTAATGGTTCAACTGGATGAACTTTTGTCTTTTTTCAGCCAGGCTAACTATGTAACTAACTATGTACCTATAAATACCTGTAATAATACTATTAACTCTATTGACTCATTGAAAGATTTAACCTGGGTTTGTCATTAATCTTATTTGTAATGCAGAAAATAGATAATATTCACTTTGCAAGGCAAATCTTCAGCTTGAATAGTGAACATTTACTTAGCTTAGTAAATAGGATGAAGTTGAGCTCTAATCATGAGCAGGGGGAATTAATAAAACAGGATTTTTGCTTACACATGATTGGATGACAGAAGTGAACACAACTTCAACAGTCAGATCACCCAGTGGCATGAGATTTTTGGTTGGTGAGTGGATCCATTATTCAAATTCACTCTTCATATAAATCAATAAGACACATGTTAATATTTACAAACTGCAATATTTTTCTGACTAACAGTGTTCCTCTTGTTTGTCCAGAAAAAAAATGCTTCTGACTTAATAGTCCTCTTTGATCACATGGTCTTTGACTGCCAATGATTAGAGATTGACTTCATTGTTCTCATTAAAACCTATTCCATTTGGTGGACCTAGGGTGCATTCACACTTGTGAATGCACCTTCAGGCAGATTACTTGCTAGAACCCCAGTGGGGGTTCCCGCGATTAGCTGCAAGAGGCAGACCAATTGAAAGCAATGCGTTGCTGCTGGCTCCCGCAGCTAATTGTGTTCACTCACATGTAATCACTCATGTAGCGATCACATGCAAGTGATCGGCCCTGGACGCAGAATACCTTATTCCATGGCCAATCACTTGCATGTGATCACTGCAGTAGAAAATGCGAGTGGGCACAATTAGTTGTGAGAGTCAACAGCCTCCCATTGCTTTCTAAGAGGCTGTCTCTCGCAGCTAATTGTGGGAACCCCAAGCTGGAGTTCTCATGTTCTCAGACTACTGGTGCATTCGCAAGTGTGAATACACCCTGACACTGAGCATGTGCTGAATGGTGCAAAAATATAACCACAGTCTTCATAAAACATTGTATCTTTTATAAATCTATAAAAATAGATGTATGTCCATAGCTTTTTAGGCCAAGCTTCTCTTTTGGGTCACAGCAGTGCACTTATTTCTGCACTCCTGTGACTTGGCACCATCGGTTGGTTTCACAGGACACAGCTGACATTAGGCCCTTGTGTAAGGCTAGTTCACACCTATGCAGGTTGCATTTGAGTCATTTCTGCATTGTATTTTGCATTTTTGCGCCTGCGTTTTTGATGCGTTACTGATACATTTTGCTTTTTTTTTTCTAGTTGCTAAGCAGATTTAAAATGCAAAACGCAAAACACATCAAAAATGCAATACATGCTTTTCTGCAGTGTTTCCATTGAAATCTATAGAACCAAAAATTCAACTTTTTGCATTAAAAAAAGTCTCTGACTCTTTCCAGAAAACGCACAGGTGTGAACATGTCCCATAGGAAATAATGTTAAATGGACTGTACTGTGTTTCTGCAATACACAAAACGCTGCAGAAAACGCTTCGGTTTAAACCTAGGGTAAGGCAGCCGGTCCAACAGAAGCTAGTCAACTTCTGTTGAAAGGGCTTGACTGAAAAAGGTCTGCTGATCGACTCCCGAGTTTTGACTGGAGTGTTCTGGTGGGGGGGGGAGGGTCCCCCCGTCAGAACACAACAGCACAGTAGGGGAGATTGCAGTACTAGGCTTTAGATTCAGCTGATAGTGGGTTAAAACCCGCTGTCAGCTGATGTCACAGAGTCAGTGCAGGCTCTTTGGGGATCTTGACAATAATGTTGGGATCCACCCAGATGCCTAACTGGCAGCTGGCTCAGCTTTTTTTTTTTTTTTTTTTTTTTTAGTTATTTCAATTTTTTTCAGCTCCTATAGCACCAGGTACACTAACACAATGGAGGCTACTTTTGCACAGATAAAGAAAAGACCTAAGTTCACATCTAACCGACGCTTCACAGTATAGCATAGTCAGCTACTGAAGAGATTTGAAGCATATATACAGTTGGTACACTTATCAAATGGTCCTATTCATTTTTCTATGCTGCAATGTAGTACATTACAGAAACACAGTCTACATGTGGCATAGCACAGTATATGACATGATTAGAGATGAGCGAATTATTCAAAAATTCGGTTCGGCTGATTCGCCGAATTCGCTGAATAAATTTGCTTCAAGCCGAATATATTTGCTGCGAATTTAACTTAAAAAAAGGGTGTTTCTAGGCTTCAGAGAGCCTTTATATTAGTGCAGAACACTGTACCTTTAATTTAAATGCCCTTGGAGTCTGCTGGGGAAGAGAAATAATACTGTTAGTCAGTATGACATGCAGATGAGTGCCGTCGATCTTAGAATCACCGCACACTTCACTCATTTGGGCAGTCACGGGGCCAAAACCAGAGTGTGGAGCCACAGTGTGGCGGTGGAGGCAGCAGCAATGGGAGGCCATACAGCACCCTATGACAAAATGGAACCCACCAGCAGTGTGAGGAGACCTGAAAGTGGCACATGGCAGAGTGTGGCGATGGAGACAGCAGCAATGGGAGGCCGTACAGGGACCCATGACACACTCTGGACCTGGCAGCAGCATGAGGAGGCGGTACAGGGGCCCATGGCAGAGTGGCGGGCGTAATTACGGGCAGCAGCTAAACAGGGGCCCATTGAAGGCCATACAGAGGCCTATGTTAAAAAGTCCCCCCAGCAGCAGCGTGGGGAGACGACTATCAAGAGTCCAATGGCAGAGTGGTGGAGCAGAAGCAGCTTCAATTGAAGGCCATACACAGGCCTAGGTTTAAAAGTCCCTCACAGTTAATTCCAATAACGAACTCTACTCCTCCGTGCAATCTACTTACGAGACCCTGGGCAGGTCTGGGTCCAATTTGTGGTAGAGACTGGTTTTGTTCAGCCATGCTTGAGCGAGTAATAACAGGTCTGTGCTGCCCTTTGGTGTCTGGCTTAATGCGCACAACACTGAACGTCCCAGCGTTTGTCAACGATTTGCCGTTAAGTGATGCAAACCCGCTGAACCACGTTCATGAGGAGCCGGTACAGGGGGCCATGAATCAGTATGGACCTGGCAGCAGCGTGAGCAGACGACAGAGGCACATGGCGCAGGGTGGCGGTGTAGGCAGCATTATTCTGAAGCCATACACAGGCCTAGGTTAAAAAGCGGAAGCCGTCAGCAGCGTGAGCAGACGACAGAGACACATGGCGCAGGGTGGCGGTGGATGCAGCAGTATTCGGAAGCCAAACACAGGCCTCGGTTAAAAAGCGGAAGCCGTCAGCAGCGTGAGCAGACGACAGAGGCACATGGCGCAGGGTGGTGGTGGAGGCAGCAGCAATGGAAGGCCATACAGCACCCTATATCACAAAATGGAACCCACCAACAGTGTAAGGAGACCTGAAAGTGGCACATGGCAGAGTCTGGCGATGAAGTCAGCAGCAATGGGAGGCCGTACAGGGACCCATGACACACTCTGGACCTGGCAGCAGCAAGAGGAGGCGGTACAGGGGCCCATGGCAGAATGGCGAAGCGTAAGCAGCTTAAATTGAAGGCCATACAGAGGCCTATATGTTAAAAAGTCCCCCCAGCAGCAGTGTGGGGAGACGACTATCAAGAGTCCAATGGCAGAGTGGCGGAGCAGAAGCAGCTTCAATTGAAGGCCATACACAGGCCTAGGTTAAAAAGTCCCCCCAGCAGCAGCGTGGGGAGACGACTATCAAAAGTCCAATGGCAGAGTGGCGGAGCGGAAGCAGCTTCAATTGAAGGCCATACACAGGCCTAGGTTAAAAAGTCCCCCCAGCAGCAGTGTGGGGAGACGACTATCAAGAGTCCAATGGCTGAGTGGCGATCCGGGAAGTCAGCGTTGTGATTGCAGATGCAATGCAGAAATTCTACGAAGTAATGCCGTGGGTGCGAAGAAGATCATATACCGTCGTACTTCCATCCATAAGACGGAACAACCTGCAAACCGGGAGCTTTATTGCCCTGACCCGCTGAGCAGCTTCTGGGATACCCAAGAGGCCCATGGCAGAGTGGCGGAGCGTAAGCAGCTTCAATTAAAGGCCATACAGAGGCCTATGTTAAAAAGTCCCCCCAGCAGCAGCGTGGGGAGACTACTATCAAGAGTCCAATGGCAGAGTGTGGCGCGAGCGGAAGCAGCTTCAATTGAAGGCCATACACAGGCCTAGGTTAAAAAGTCCCCCCAGCAGCAGCGTGGGGAGACGACTATCAAGAGTCCAATGGCAGAGTGGCGGAGCGGAAGCAGCTTCAATTGAAGGCCATACAGGCCTAGGTTAAAAAGTCCCCCCAGCAGCAGTGTGGGGAAACGACTATCAAGAGTCCAATGGCTGAGTGGCGATCCGGGAGTCAGCGTTGTGATTGCAGATGCAATGCAGAGATTCTATGAGGTGATGCCGTGGGTGCGAAGAAGATCATATACCGTCGTACTTCCATCCATAAGACGGAACAACCTGCGAACCGGGAGCTTTATTGCCCTGACCCGCTGAGCAGCTTCTGGGATACCCAAGAGGCCCATGGCAGAGTGGCGGAGCGTAAGCAGCTTCAATTAAAGGCCATACAGAGGCCTATGTTAAAAAGTCCCCCCAGCAGCAGCGTGGGGAGACGACTATCAAGAGTCCAATGGCAGAGTGGCGGAGCGGAAGCAGCTTCAATTGAAGGCCATACACAGGCCTAGGTTAAAAAGTCCCCCCAGCAGCAGTGTGGGGAGACGACTATCAAGAGTCCAATGGCTGAGTGGCGATCCGGGAAGTCAGCGTTGTGATTGCAGATGCAATGCAGAGATTCTATGAGGTGATGCCGTGGGTGCGAAGAAGATCATATACCGTCGTACTACTTCCACATAAGACGGAACAACCTGCGAACCGGGAGCTTTATTGCCCTGACCCGCTGAGCAGCTTCTGGGATACCCAAGAGGCCCATGGCAGAGTGGCGGAGCAAGCAGCTTCAATTAAAGGCCATACAGAGGCCTATGTTAAAAAGTCCCCCCAGCAGCAGCGTGGGGGAGACGATTATCAAGAGTCCAATGGCAGAGTGGCGGAGCGGAAGCAGCTTCAATTGAAGGCCATACACAGGCCTAGGTTTAAAAAAGTCCCCCCAGCAGCAGTGTGGGGAGACGACTATCAAGAGTCCAATGGCTGAGTGGCGATCCGGGAAGTCAGCGTTGTGATTGCAGATGCAATGCAGAAATTTTATGAGGTAATGCCGTGGGTGCGAAGAAGATCATATACCGTCGTACTTCCATCCATAAGACGGAACAACCTGCGAACCGGGAGCTTTATTGCCCTGACCCGCTGAGCAGCTTCTGGGATACCCAAGAGTTTGGCTTCTGTGGGAATATGGTTGAAAACTGAAACTTAAAGGCATGTTGACGGAAGGGCACCAGTGTCAGTGCTCCGGAGGGAATATAGCTTCAAAGCTGACACTTAAAGGTATATCGACGGTCAGAGACCACAGGAAGTGGAGCTTGCGTCTTAAATCGACTGAATGTGGCAGACGTGAAACGTCTACGGGCCGTATATGAAACGGGTTGTTCCTCTTTCTGGAATAAGTGTTGGAAATGGCCACCGTAGTTTTTCGGCGCTGGTGTGGCGTTTTGTCTCTTTAATTGCAGGGCTGGCACTGCCTTTTTGGCGAAAAATGCGGCTTGGCTCTCCACCGCGGCTCGGCACAAGCCATCATTTCTCGGAAAGGTGCTGAGTCCACCACTTGGAAAGGGAGGGACTGCAGCACCAGCAACTTGGACAGGAGGACGTTCAGCTTCTGCACCCGTCGGGTGCGTGCTCGCAAACTGTTGTCTCTTGGAAACGGATTCCAAGAAAGACTGCTGACGGAATCCGTGAAGAGGAGTAGCAGGAGAAGGAGCATCTGAACGAGCGGAAGATGCCAACGAGCGACAACTCCCCTCAGCAGAGGTGTTGGAGCCTTGACTGGCTGATAGAGGGCGATTGACGTCGGGTGACGGAGCAAGTAACGGAGCGGGTGATGGAGCGGGGGGGCTGGGGCAGGCAGAACCGCCGTATCTTTATCACGGTTTTCCCAGGCCACCGAATGGCGACGCTGCATATGCTGACGCAACGCTGTAGTCCCAACATTGGCCCCCTGGCCACGCTTGACTTTCTGGCCACATAGTCGACATACGGCTACGTTTACTTCCTCGGGCGGCTTGACGAAAAATTGCCACACTGCCGAGTAGGAAACTTTGCCCCCGCTACTCCTCACACTGGCTGACTGCTACTTCCTCCGTGCACACCGGCACCACTACTGGCCGTGGTGGTAGGCTGCAGTGGAGCTGGTGCTCTACTCCGTGGCCGTTTGGCTCCACTGACACTGCTGCGACCCTGCTGCCTCCTGGGCAACCCACCGACTGTTTTGCTCGCTGGCAAGCTGGCACCCTCTTCTCCTGATGATGCGGAAGCAATAGCCTGATGACGACGAGGCTGCCAAGTGCGATCAGCCTCATCATCATCAATTAGGGTCTCCGCGTCACTACTAGCCCCCTCGGCTGCGTGTGGGTCAGGAGACAGACCTGTCTCTAGACCGGCTACCGAGCCACTCTCCTCGCCAGTACTTCTTCGCCTGGCTGCTGAAGAGGCAGATGTCTCCCCCCGTTCCTGACCGCCCTCTGTTAGCTCTTCCTCACTGTACAGTGGGGCTGAGCCCACAGCATGCGATACTTCGCTTGGTGAGGGAACACCAAAGGACAGGGGCAGGTCGAGGACACGTGATTTCAGTGGGCTTGCTCCCGGGCCATGCCAACTAACGGTTGTGTCTGACGTACCCACCGACCGTTGGCTGTAGGTGTCAGAGGTGACCTGGGAAGAGGAAGACGACCGAGTCAACCAATCGATGACGGCAGGGTTGTCGGTGGAGACACGACCGCTGGATGACACCGGGAGCACTGGCCTCGGGCTGCGACTAGTGCTGCCTCGACCCCTTCCTCTGCTGCCACGTCTGCTCGCTCCTGAAACATTGCCTCCTCTGCCACTCCTCTGCGTGTTGTCTGACATACTCTTTAATTCAATAAGCACCCCAAAAATAAAACCGGATTTAACTCTTTGAACTCTTTTGAACGTACAATAGTGGTTGTGAAGCAGAAAATGTCAGTTTATTTAGCACAATGGTCAAAAGTTTTATTTAGCACAATCGGTCAATTGCAGCTTGCCGTTGGCTGTAAACTGTACGTTTATGTCACTGGAATGCACTAATCACCCAAAAAATATTACCGCCACCCGGCGTGTATATGGATTTAACTCTTTGAACGTACAATAGTGGTTGTGAAGCAGAAAGTCAGTTTATTTAGCACAATCGGTCAATTGCAGCTTGCCGTTGGCTGGAAACTGTACGTTTATGTCACTGGAATGCACTAATCACCCAAAAAATATTACCGCCAGCCGGCGTGTAAATGGATTTAACTCTTTGAACGTACAATAGTGGTTGTGAAGCAGAAAGTCAGTTTATTTAGCACAATCGGTCAATTGCAGCTTGCCGTTGGCTGGAAACTGTACGTTTATGTCACTGGAATGCACTAATCACCCAAAAAATATTACCGCCAGCCGGCGTGTAAATGGATTTAACTCTTTGAACGTACAATAGTGGTTGTGAAGCAGAAAGTCAGTTTATTTAGCACAATCGGTCAATTGCAGCTTGCCGTTGGCTGGAAACTGTACGTTTATGTCACTGGAATGCACTAATCACCCAAAAAATATTACCGCCAGCCGGCGTGTAAATGGATTTAACTCTTTGAACGTACAATAGTGGTTGTGAAGCAGAAAGTCAGTTTATTTAGCACAATCGGTCAATTGCAGCTTGCCGTTGGCTGGAAACTGTACGTTTATGTCACTGGAATGCACTAATCACCCAAAAAATATTACCGCCACCCGGCGTGTAAATGGATCTAACTCTTTGAACGTACAATAGTGGTTGTGAAGCAGAAAGTCAGTTTATTGTACACAATCGGTCAATTGCAGCTTGCCGTTGGCTGGAAACTGTACGTTTGTGTCATTGGAATGCACTAATCACCCAAAAAATATTACCGCCAGCCGGCGTGTAAATGGATTTAACTCTTTGAACGTACAATAGTGGTTGTGAAGCAGAAAGTCAGTTTATTTTGCACAATCGGCAAACTGCAGCACCAACTGTGCACGACAGCCACCAAAAAAAAAAAAGGGTGTATGTCACTTTAAATTTTCGATTCTTTGATAGCTGTGGCCCTAAGTAACGATTCTGTGTCCCTGAGTAACGATTCTGTGTCCCTGAGTAACGATTCTGTGGCCCTAAAGTCTCTGTGGCCCTAACTCTGTCCCTTATACACACAGGTCTGTCTCTCTTGAATGACCGGAGGCTAATGGAGAATTCTAAGATGGCCACGATTTATAGCTCCACCATTACACAGTGCTGGCTGGCTGCTGATTGGCTAATGCGATCACATGTCATGAATGCTTATGGGTCAGCGCGCCTTGTCTGCGCGCCTTCCCAGAGATCCCCGCCCCATCTTCTCTGTCCATTTTCTCCGTCGCCACACATGTCGCCGCCATTTTTGGGAAAATTCGATTCGTGCATCCGAAGTTTGCTAATCTACGGATTCGTCGCAAATAGAATTTTTCCAAATCTTCGGAACGAATTCCACTTCGTCATGTTCGATTCGCTCATCTCTAGACATGATCAGAAAACATAATTTTTTATTCAGGCAAAAAAATGCAAAATGCATGCAATGACAGCTTGGGAAACATGCATCACTGCACACAAACTCATGCTAGCTTTTACAAGCAAAATGTGAACTCCGCCTCAAAGAAGACAATGTCAGCGAAAACATTACAAGTACTTGACCAGATTTTGTTTTTATGTTCCTCTTTAATACACCCACATGTGCTAACCTTTTTTATCTGCCATATAGCTTTATTAATCTGAATCTAAAGGTATCTTTAGAGAAAACCTTTCCGACATCCATCTTAAGCCAGAGTTATTGCCGCTATTAAAATTCTTCACTTTCTACTTACAGTTCCTTTTTACCTTTAATCTTCATACCAAACAATTGACTGTTTTATTAAAACATTACAAAAGAATTATTTGAGCTTTTATGTGCAGCTGGTATACGATTAATGAATGACTCACCTTCATCCGCAGAGGCCAATGTGCAATATTTTCTGATTATCTGTGTATTCTTCTTTCTTATTTCTGGGAATGAAACTAATTCAAAT